ACATGTGGTATGCACAGTTATCATCTTCTAGAAAGGTGGAGAATTATACACTTTAGTACTGTAGTCTTTCTAAGTAAAACTTTTGAAAAACTACAAAGTGCTTTATAATCACAAACAAGATAATAAAACTCTTTTTTGGGTGTCATGCCTTTACATTTCACTTTGATAGACTATATTAATTACCTAGTTATTGATTTGTATTTTTTTAAAATGACCCCAAATTGACTTTTTGATAAAGATACCTAAAAAAGTAGAAAGGAAAAGATTTTCTATCCTAGAATTCTAGTCCAAGAAGATTACTAGTTAACAGGGTGGCTAAAACAAGAATACTTTTAGACTGCAAAGCCCCCGTCCATTTTATAGTTAGCCATGGGGGATGGGCGCCACATATATAAGAGACTAAAGCAAGAACCAGAAACAAAAGACACACAGTAAGAGAAGCCCAACACAGTAGACAAATGGGGCATAGCTCTGAAGGGAGAGTCCGGAAGGACAGCAGTGCCCAGATGATAAGTGCTGCTGGTCTAGAAGGACGTAGAAGTTTCCAGAATGAAAGTCTTAAAAAAGTAGCTGAAGTATATGAATGTCTTGAGAGGAGACTGCCAGAGAATTTAGTGATGACTTAGTGGCGACTACCTAGAAAGTAAGTAAAAGGACAAAAAAATTCCATTAAAAACAAAGGAATTATTAACTCTATGAAAAACAGAAAATTTGTAAGAAAAGGTTTGTTTACTCCCTAGCACAGTGCTCAGCAGAATGTATTAGTAGTATTACACACTATTAATTTAAAAATACAATATAACAGTATTGAAACTGTTAAAGATGTAAGTACAGTTGGGGGCCGGGGTGGTAAAGACAAATCTTCCTCCTCTTCTGTGGAAAGTCCATTGATAATACCCCAAATTCAAACACCCCAAATTCAAACAACTCTAAGAAGGACGAGGAAGAAGTAGTTTTTAAGATGTAGCAATATAAGCATGTTGCTTACAGACAGGAAAGTGAATTCTGAAGAAGTATAATATAAATGTTGGAGGCAGACGCAATTATGAAAGGGGAAATGAAGGGTAGAACCAGGAACGGTCATTCTTAACATTTTGGAATCAGATATTTGAAACTACTACAGGTGTAACTATACTACATATTGTCTGCCTTGTGTATAAATGCATTTTATTTAGGAGAGCAAGATGGAAGGTCCAAAGTTTAGTCTGTGGAGAATCATCAAATTTCAAGACATTTAGAATTCTTAATAAGTTATATTATCATTCTATCAATAGAATACATGTCTTGTACCAAATAACATAACATCTACTTGCAATTAATATAGACTATGCATCTAACACATTACACATTTTTAGGTCTCATGTGCATTTTAGCAGTCACTTAGCCCTGAAAACTTAAAAACATGTGAGCCAGGCTCTTCAAACTTGGTTTTACTGGCACAGTGGGATCACAGTTTTTTGAATGAAATATATAAAAACAAACACCTCAAGGTTTCACGAGTAGAAAACCATCCATACCATAAGGTCGATTTTAATGAAAGTCTCAGTATTATAAAGCTCATAATTTTATTACAGTTGATTAAAATTCCAAATGATGTACAATAAACTTTCAACTTCCTTCTTTTATGCATTTAACTCAAAAACTAGACTGGAGCTGGTTCATCAGGTACTCATCAGATGGGGATTAGAGATGAATAATGTAACCAAGGTGTCTGTCTCATGATTCTGCTCACTCATTAAGCATGATATTCTAAAATTCTCAGAAAAATACTAAAATCCCCTTATTGGTGTTTTTATATTCCTCAGCCAAACAATGTTCTCAAATTAAGACCACTAGATTGGTTTCTTGAATTAAAGGTTAAAAACCTCTTTCAATTTAGGTACAGTCGATTAGAGACAGACTATGAGGAAAATGCATGGCTCCATATCCACAAAAAGACTTCCCCCAAGTAGTTTTCATACATCTTACTTGGAACCTAGAATTCCTTTTCCTCTGGGAATAATACCAGAATGCGAGCAGCTAATACACTGTTTGGTGTTTATGGGAATCTATGGCTTATGTATGTTTTATTGGCAATAATCATGTGTGTCTATTTGGACATGCAAATATATTCAAATCATGCTTTGTATCAAAAAAAAATTAACAGTGTAGTCAATTGGAGTAGTTTAAGTTTTCTTTTCTTACTTATTTCTAAAGGCACTCAGAGCACTAAAAATACAGATGTGTGCCCAGAGGTTCCAGGCAGCTTATGTTTCAGCATGAAATTCAATATTTGATGGCATATTATTTTCTCATTCCCATCAACATTTTTTGCATGAACTGCATTATGCATAGCCTAGGATTTGGGGAGGAGGTGTACAAATTAACTCTCATTGCTGTAAACAGTTTGCATCCAGGTAAAATGCCAAAAACAAACCAAAAAAAAAAGGACTCTTGTAGTAAAGTCATTTCAATGTAAATCTATTAAAATCTATTGTAATAAAAAGCTTTGAAAAACTAAACTCTTTTGAAGCATTATTTTGAATCAAATACAATATTTCAAAATAAACAAATACGGACAAGCTCTGTCTTGGACATATTACTGCATATGTATGACTTTCTTATTTCAAAAGAATGGGACCTTTTTTGTAAATGCTCTTTTTTAATATGTGGGAGAACACTGTCTGTTTCAAAGTAGATTTTGCACAGTCTCTGCATTCTCAAAATTATTAGCTTAGTGAATCAGTGCGTCCCTTCACAAATATTGTGAGGACAAAAGTTTCACGCAAGATTCATTAGTAAATTTTTTATTTTTTAGATGAAATCAATAAACCCAGTCAATGCTCAATTGTCTCATGTAAGGTGTATGATGCAAACAATTATAACCAAAAAAAAAGTGGTATATTTCATTACAGTTTACACAAAGGAGTTTGGTCCACAGTTCCACCACACACAGGATACGCATTTTGTAACTGAACAGTTCCCCTCTCCAAAACCACCATAATAATTTTTAAAATGTTTAATTAGAGCACCTGCCTCAAATCCTTTGAAAGGTTTTTAGTTCCTTTCTTGGGAGAAGCAATTCTGGCTGTTTCTTTTTTAATCAAAGCTACTTTGCTAAATTGCTTTCCAACCAGACCTCAGAATATTAGCTAAGGCTGGCCCTGGCCTTGTTGCAATTTGAATATTAACAGTCATGGTTTTACAGCCGCTCCATTTGAGTAATGCACTGCAACTCCCACAATTCAGCTGTCCTTCCTTTCCTTCCCTGGCTGGCCCTGGCCCGTGGAATGTTTGTGGGGTGTCACCATGAATGTGCTCAGAGCAGAGTTATATGGCATCATTTGGAGAAACATTGCGTTAATAACCAGAGTTCAAGGGCAAAGGATATAAACGGAGCAAATTACAAGTCTGAGCAGATATATAGCTTTTGCTAAAAGGGACATGGGCTGCTACTTTATTTACTGGGCACTGGTTCACTTGTGGAAAGTGCCAGAATGCACGAAGGCATTTTTAAATGATCGCATCACAGTTTAAGAAAACAACACAAATTTTCAGGCTTGAAAGAATGGCAGTGCAAAAATCAACGGGTCTGAGTTTCCTAATGAGAGAATACGACTTGCTATAAAGTACCTCAAGTTTCCGAGGTAATTTCACAGATGATAATATCATTTTATGTGCCACCATGAAGGTACAGTGGAAGAAGCCTGCTGGAAACCTAAATTCAGTAGATCATTTTAAATTGCAACCTGACTCAATTTTGTCCAAGATTTCTTGCTATGATTATTTTAAGCAGAGGTTACTACCTTAGTTCAAAATTAACACCATGAAGGAGTGATTTGTAAAAACACTCTATTTTATTTTTATATGTGGTGGCTTCAGGGCTACCTGAAATAATGAAATAAAAATGAAACCAATAATGAAATAAAAAGGGAACCAAAAAATTCAGAAGAAAAGAAGCAGAAAGAATTTTTTTAAAGGACAACCTTGTTAATAATCAAAAAAGAAATAATTTTCACCTTCTAATTACCAAATATTTTAATTAATATTCTGAATAATACTGAGTATACTGTAAAATATGTGGCCTAATATTTTCCTATTGGTAGGATGGAAGGCTACATTTTTTTTTTTTTTTAGTAAAATAGCTTGGAAACTATCAAAATGTCCATAAAGCATGGCTTATTTATTCCATTAAAATTTATTTGAAATCAATAAATTCAAACATGAAAATTTTGCCTTAAGATGTCCCTTACTGTAGTATCTACTTTATTGAAATCTAGAAGCAACCTGAATATCCAACAATCGGGAAATGGTTAAGGAAATTACATATATATGCTCTATAAAATATACTATTATTAAAACTGATAAATAGGGCTATTCTCTACTACCAATAATTTTTTTAAAAAATTATTTTGACATTATACAAAACAACCCCACAGAATTCAAATGTACTCTTTTATAAAAGTATTTAAGCAAGCATCCAAAAAATAATTTTTTAAAAATGCATGGATTTATATGGGTTTCTTTTCTTTTTCGGTATATACTATCAATGTTAGCCTGATAGGATTATTAGATTTCCTTTAATTTTTTTTTTCTGTTTTCTAGAGAATTAAAATATAGCATTTGAAAGAGAAATGCATGCAAGTTCTTTTTCCCCCTGATCACTTTTCAACCACAGTGAGATAAAGCACATCTTTATGACATGGTTCAGTCTCATTTACTGCTAGTTTAAACGTGGCTTTCATTTTGTTAGTGGTGTAGTGGGGAGGCAGAGGAGGTTGATGACTGCTCTAAAGCACAATTAGAACATTTCCCTCACACACACACACACACACACACACACACACACACACACACATACACACACACACACACACATATATATATGTATGTATGTATGTATGTATAAAGCATACATGTATGTATAAAGCCACTATATTCTCTGGACTCTTTTGCTCTCAGGGGTGACTGCATCAGTGTTCAGCCAGGACTGCCTTATTCCTGGACAGGAGATGTATTACCTTCAGCTCGCCGCTTGTACAGGACGAAATGCTCACGGTGAACCGACCTGTCCTTCAGTTGCCAAAGAGCCCGGATGATACAACAGCTCTCTACCAGTTCCATCTCCATGATGCTTCACGATATATTTTTTCCTGTTAACCCGTGTGTCTGCTTCAACCCTCGCTCTCAACCTAATGAGTTTTCAAAAAGACACTTCTTAAATCGAATTGCCTAAAACCACTCGCTGTCATCTTTTTGCAAGGATAAACAAAACATATTCAAATTGCTAGTGACTTTTAAACACGTAAGAGCCAGACAAATTATGAAAATTTTACACGTTCTAATTTGCAGATGATATCTCTAGAACACGTCTTTCTATCTCATTTTATTCTTTTTGAAATTAAGTTCTGTTAAACATTTAATATCCAATTGTCTTATCCTGCACAGACCATCTAAACTCCATCCCCCTCCACAATTTTTTTAAAACGTATTTTCAATGATTTTGCTATTTACTGAGATGAAAGGATGCAACCGTTCAGGTCTGATTTCATACTGCTTCTCAGATCCTGATAGAGCATCACTCACAGACAGACAAACAGGAGTTAGAAGCTGTTTGGGAAGGGGAGGCTTAAGGGTGGTTCGGATGGCAAAATGATTTGTCAAATGTCAGCCCAAAATTCTGCGAGGTTCTTGGCCCTCCACCTTCCCAGAGCACGTTTTGCTTTCCCCCACAGAGATGGAATAGAAACTCATCTTCAAAATCTAAACGTTCCCAGCCGGTCCTTTTGTGCCTGCGTCTCGCTCTCCCGGCTCGGGGCGGCAGGCTCCGAGCTTGCGCGTTTTTACCTTGCGCGCGCCCCGCCGCTCGGACCCGGGCCGGGAGACCGGCCATCCGTCACCCACCTAGCTCCCGCCCCGCTCGCCGCCGCGGCCAGTCGGGCGGCAGGTGGGGCCACACCTGCGGGACCACCCGCCCCATCCCCCCTCTACCCTCCGCCCGCCTCCGGGGCTGGCGGTGCCCCGGGGAGGCCCCGATTTCTCCGAGGCCAGGACTGGACAGGTGCGTTCAGGTGACCCGGCGGGGTGCTCTTGGAGTCCGCCGCTGGCGGCCAGGGGTCCGCAGGATCGCGGGGCGATTCGTTTTTGCAGACACCTGCTTTGGATGGTGTGTGTGGACCCACGGGCCCTCACTGCGTTTATAGTCTCCCCAAACCGGAAGAATTCTGATGCTTACCTTTGGGAGGGAAGAGTCAGTGAGAACATATGCAAGTGATAGAGTTCTTTGCCTCTGGTCTGTTTGTGATAGTATGAACCAGGGATGGAGTTTGCCAGCCGAGTGTGAATTCGGCATGTCCTCTTGCACACTTCAGACAGTATCTCTCCAAGATCTAACTGAGCAATATTAACACTGCACTAATAGCTAGTCTCCATACGGTACCCAAACAAAACCTAACCCATATCTTAAGGGTCATGAGAACAGATTGCCACAATTCAGAAAAAGAGCTGAACCTCAAATCACGGGAAGACTTCCTTTTCCAAATAGACAAAATAATTGTATTGCAAGCACCTTGCTTTGGGAATTCTGAGTTCCTAGGCTGCTCTGTGGAGGCAGCTACAATTAGTCCTGCTAATGTGCTACAGACTTTGTAACTGGACTCCGTAACTCTTTCTGTATAAAAGATCCAAAACTTCTACTTTATCATGTAATTTGAGAACAATTGAGGACAAGCAGAATCGGACACCCTCCCTTCAGCAGTGTCTATATAGTTGTCAATTACATCCAGAAAAGGCTTTGGAACAGAACAGACTGTGCTGCTGGTGACATCAACGCTTCAAGGTTTCTCAAAGAAAGCCTATCTTTTAAAAACACACAAAAAGCAACCACAGCAGCAAGCATCACCCCAACCCTCTACCCCTGTCTTGCTTCTGAATCATAAATCATGAAATAGAGAGTGAGCAGTGACTCCAGCCTTCCTGCCTTTAGCAACCGGAACTGATAATGCCGAAAAGGAAGAGAAACAAACATTTGAGCTATATCGCTGTTGGGGGAGGGTGCCTGTGGGAAGTTCCAGGTTCACCATTTGTTAAGAGACCTCCCAGGGGTAGGAAGGGTCTCTCTTCAAAGTTGGTTCTCAAACCCAGCTTCACAAGAAACTCACCCTAGAGTTTTTAAGAAAATTCAGGTGCTTCCAGTGTCTCCTAGTTTATAGTCTATGGGAACTTGAATTTACTGTTGCATGAAAATTGTATAAATCTTAATTATGTTGAATTGGTTGAAAATAAAAAGTTGCAAGCTTTCAGTTACAAGATAAATAAATACTAGTGATGTAGCATATGCATGATGACTATAGTTAACACTGCCCTATGATGGATATGAAAGTTTAGGGAATAAATCCCAAGTTCTCATTACAAGGAAAAAAATATTTTTTTGTATCTATGTGAGATGATGGATGCTCACTAAACTTACCATGGTAATCATTTCATGATGTATATAAGTGAAATCATTATGCTGTGTACCTTAAACCTGTACAGTGACATATGTCAATTTTATCTTACTAAAACTGGGGGAAAAAAAGAAAACACCAGAGCAACATTCTGATTCTCTTGGTCTTGGGTGTGGTCTGGATAGAAGTACTATGGAAAACCTTTCCTGTCATTGGAATGTGCAGTCCTCCAGCTGCACATTCCAATTTTGTTCTGTTTTATGGGATATATGAATGGGATTCATGGGGTATTATTCTCCTCTGTTTCACGGGATACAAGTGTCCCCTCTCCTTCATCCTTTACTCTTCCCTCGAAACACAGCACAGAACCCACAGAGGATAAACAAAGTCTCTTCTCTTTGTGAATCAGAAAAGTATAGTGAAATACAATTGATTTATAATATTGTATTGATTTCAGATATACAGTAAAGTTGTTCAGTTATACAGACACATATATTCTTTCTTTACATTCTCTTCCTTTATAGGTTATTACAAGTTATTGAATATAGTTTTTCCTTATCTTTCGCTCACTCCTATTCACATTCTGGTCTATTCATTCTAGATATGAAAAATGTATCATTGTGTTGTGAGTGTTTACTCACTAAGTCATGTCTGACTCCTTGCGACATGCCAGTCTTCCCTGTCCTTCACTATCTCCCAGAGTTTGCTCAAATTTATGTCCATTGAGTCGGTGATGCCACCTAACCATTTCACCCTCTGCCACCCTCTTCTCCCCTTGCCTTCAATGTATCATTACTCATTTTCATACCTTGATATTAATAAAAATTGTTTTTGCTATTGATAGTTTTATGTTTTCATTATTATTTAAAGTATTGGCTGGAGTCCAGGGGATTCTTACTGAGGGATTCTGAACTCTAAAATATTTTTCTTAGAAAGTTCCCCCTTGAGTTTGTGGCTTTTTATTCATCAGCTTCAGGCCCACTGTAAGCTTCCCCAAATCACACTCCCATGTCTGTATCCACATTTTGTATGATCAGAACATTCTTCCTGTTCACCAAAGTGAAACTGGAGTTTCTCTTTCCCTGGATTTTCTGCGCTCTCCGTGGCCAGCAGTGCCGCATTGCTGGATTATGTTGTACACTTTTCCTTGAGAGATAGATGATCTGTTCTTTGATTAGACACCCTGACCTTTTACGGGTGTTGATCATTGATCTTGATCTGGGCTGGAGAGAAAGCTCTTGACTCTGAAAAGTTCCTCTGCTGCCGAGACCAGAGGGAAATTCAATTTCTACATCCACATACCCACAGCACCAGGATATCTCTTCAATTAGGATTTTTCTCGTTATTATTTTACTTTTATTCAGCAAGCTGCAGCCTCCGTTTTCCAGCCCTGGATTTTAGTTACAGTAATCAATTTTTCAGTGTAACTGGCTGTAATTGTTGGCTTGGATATTGAGCTTTCATGGGGCTTAGACATAGTGTGTTCCCATGAAGGGTCTTCTCCATACCTCGTAGACAGATGGATAATAATACCATACATTAATACCTCCACATTGGTTTATGTGTGTTTGACCACAGTGCAAGCATAATTATTTTTGCCCAGTAAAAGCTATTAGAGATCTATTTGGTAGGTTTTACGATCAATAGCTCCTGTGATATTTGTGTTGCAGCCACAGAATAATCAATTGAAGGTCATATAAAGTAAATTACCATCCTCCTATAATGATTCTTTTTTCTAGATGAGAATTGGGTTTTATTATTTCATCAGGAGCCTCTCTCGATGCATGCTCTGTCTGTTTGAGAAAGAGAGAGATAGAAGTTGTGAGCGTGTTTTGAACACAGTATTAATATCCATTACTCGAATTTATGTTATCGGGTTATTGAATTAGTGGATTCACACTGGAATTCCTTCCCAACCCTTTCTTATGGACTCAGTGCCACAGTTAATAATAGGCAGGAGCACACAGATGTCTTTTGATACATGGTGGAGTGAGTCACTTTGCAAAAGTCAATCTTTGTAGCTGTCTCTTTAAAGCAAATTTAGAGTTGGTTAAGTGTGTTCTATTGACAGAGTGCCTGAATTTCTCTCTTCAAACCCTTTTGGAGACTGACTGGTCAACTAACCAGGGGATGGAGGCCAGAAGGCTGAATATCCTAGTTCACTGCCCACTGGTACCTCAAGGTACACCCGATATCACAGTGGAGTGGGGGAATGGCACTGTACCTGTTTTCCTGGCGGGGGCGGAGGGGGGCTTCTCCCTCGGCCGAGATGCCTAAGCTGGATTTCCTACGAGTTGTGAGCCAGAGTGATGGCCATGCCTCTAGAAAAGATTGCAATTTGCCAACCTGAGGCATACAATCCCCCAGCTGTCTTAAAGGGACCCATTTTCAGAGTTCAGTCTTTCTTTTTGTGGGTGCAATCAGTTGTGCACTGAAAAACTGCAGCCACAGTTGGATAACTGCAGGCACAACAGGCCACCAGAGGCCTCTTTGCTCCAAATTTTGTACCTGCAACTAATTGCACTTACAGAAAATGGGAGTGTGGTAGGAGATTTTTAAAAAATTTGGGCCAGTAAATTCTCCATGGAGGGACTAGGCGAGGAGAGACGCAATTACTCACTTTCTTAAAGACAAAGGCAAATAGAGGCATCCTTTTCTTTACACACTCCATCCAGCCTGGAGCGC